TTTGTACCCACCTTGACTCACTTTGTATCCAGCTTAACTCACCTTGACTCACTTTGTACCCACCTTAACTCATTTTGTACCCACCTTGACTCACATTGTACCCACCTTAACTCACTTTGTTCCCACCTTAACTCACTTTGTACCCACCTTAACTCACTTTGTACCCACCTTAACTCACTTTGTACCCACCTTGACTCACATTGTACCCACCTTAACTCACTTTGTTCCCACCTTAACTCACTTTGTACCCACCTTAAATCACTTTGTACCCACCTTAACTCACTTTGTACCCACCTTAACTCACTTTGTACCCACCTTAACTCACTTTGTACCCACCTTGTCTCGCTGTACCCACATTGACTCACTTTGTACCTACCTTAACTCACTTTTTACCACCTGGGCTCACTTTGGGCTTGTTTTACCAGAATCCTATTGTTATTTAAGTGAAACATTTTAGTTTTTTGTTAATTAGGTCTACATTATACAACAACCATCTATAAAAACTCAAAACACACCATATCTGACAGAGCTGGAGGTTCTGTTGTATGTTTTTAAATTAAAAACCGGTGACAGAAACATAAAAATAACCATCAGACAGTAATGGGGGGCTTTAATACTTACAGTTTGGTTCATTTCCTTTGTATTTTTCCGACCATTGTGAAACTCTGAAGCACACWTTATTTTGTTCTCCTTGCAGAGCGTGTTGTTGTGTCGACACAGAGGAGATCTGAGAGCAGWGATGGCTTCAGAAAGCGCTCTGAATGTTACATTAACTCTGAGGCTGCTGATGCATGGGAAGGTAATCATCAGATGTGTAAAGTGTCAGTCTGTTAAAGTCTTTCTTGTAATGACCCGTCTGGATCCTGCTGTGGTTTTAATAATTAGATTCTGCTCGAAACCTCCAAGCATCTTCTTCAAATGTTCTTCTCCTTTCTTTTACAGGAAGTTGGCAGCATAATTGGAAAGGCAAGTTTTATATGAATCCACCAGCTTCTGCAAATTTGTTCTCATATAACTAATTTAAAACTAACATTTCTTTCCCGGATTGTTTCAGAAAGGAGAAACAGTGAAGAAAATGAGGGAGGAGGTGAGTGTTTGTTTTACAAACAGATTTATTTTTTATAAATTCAGACCCACAGCTCTGARGGCGCGTGGTTTTTATAGAGCGGAGCTCGAATCAACATATCAGAAGGCTCTTCTCCAGAGAGAATCGTTACCATCACAGGACCTACAGAGGGGATCTTCAGCGCCTTCTCCATGATCGCACAGAAGTTTGAGGAGGTACGAAAAATCCAGAACAAATCCAGAACTAATCAAGAAAAAACCCAGAACTAATCAAGAAAAAACCCAGAACTAATCCAGAACTAATCAAGAAAAAACCCAGAACTAATCCAGAACTAATCAAGAAAAAACCCAGAACTAATCCAGAACTAATCAAGAAAAAACCCAGAACTAATCCAGAAATAATCAAGAAAAAACCCAGAACTAATCCAGAAATAATCAAGAAAAAA